TGTATATAGAGTGCAGGTGTCGGTGTAGGGTGTGGCTGTGGCTGTGGCTGTGGCTATGGCTGTGAGTCCTTTCTTCAGCAAGCACACCCAGGTCCATCTACACCCACACCCATATCCACAGCTACACCCACACTCATATCCACAGCTGCACCCACACCCATATCCACAGCTACACCCACACCCATGTCCACAGCTACACCCACACCCATATCCACAGCTACACCCACACCCATGTCCACAGCTACACCCACGCCCATATCCACAGCTACACCCACACCCATACCTCACACCCACGCCCACACCCATACCTCACACCCACACCCATACCTCACACCCACGCCCACACCCATACCTCACACCCACACCCACACCCATACCTCACACCCACACTCACACCCGAAAACATCCAACAACATCATTTATCTTATCGTTATTCTTTCCAACTCTCGTTGGGTTTTTTTTCTATTGACTTTTATTTACCTTATAAAACGAGACTAACAATGCAAGATAAGAAGAAATTAAGCAAAATTAAATAGAATGATAAGAATAAGATAGCAAGAAGAAAGATACAAAGACAATAAGTGGAGGTATCATCATAATAAATTTGTAGGCTAGTGCAATCTTATGCTGGGATGTGTGTGCCTAGGTAGATGGGTTTCCGAATGTGAGTATCGGTGGATGTGGCTGTGGGTGGATACAGCTGTGGCCGTATGGTGTGAATTGGTGCTGGTGGATGTGGTTGTGGCTGCGGCTCTGGGCGGGCATCGATGTGGGTTGGTACAGCTGTAATTGTGAGTAGTGGATGACTGTGTGGGAGTGTGGCTGTAAATGTGAGAGCGGAAGCGAGTGACATGAACGTGGTTGTGGGTGTCGATGTAGGGGGATTTCGGATCTTCGCCAATAAAACTTTCGCCAAATAGCACTTTCGCCAATGGCGAAACTCTACTATACTTTCGCCAATAGACACACTGGAATATCGCCAATTGGCGAAAGCTCACTGTACTTTCGCCAACATCTCTCGTGGAATTTCGCCAATTATATTGTGAATTAAACTCACATATATTCAATGTTAATATTGTTTTGTGGCAGTTGGCGGAAGCCCACTGTACTTTCGCTAATGCGCCATCTGGAATTTCGACAATTGGCGAAGATCCGGTAACCCTATGTAGGCGCGGGTATGGGTGGGCATGGGTGTTGGTGTAGGTGTGGGTGTGAATCTTCTCTTCAGCAAGCATGCCCACATCTACCGACACCCACACCTAAGCCACACCCACACCCACACCCACCCACACCCACACCCACACCCACACC